GGGGGGGGTTGAGCTTTTGTGAAAACTTCCATAATTGCCCTGTCTTAGTTGGTTGGAGCACTGTTCGTTCACCAAAAGGATTCAGGTTTGATTCCTGGTCAGGGCACATACCTAGGTTGTGGATTCGATCCCCAGTCAGGGTTCGTACAGGAGGCAACTGATCGATGTTTCTCTCTCTGAAAAATAATCAATAAAAACATATCCTTGGGTGAGGATTAAAAAACAAAAAAACTCCTGTAATTGAGAACCGTGCCTAAAGTGATTCTGATTAACCAGTGTTGGAAACCATGACCTAATGGGTCTCAGATGTTTGAGAACTGGGGCACAAATGAGAGGAGTGCCCTTTCCTGACCCTGGAAGTCCATAGGATGCCTGAAGAGGCACCTATACGAAAGAGTTGCAGGAGTTAATTGACTGAATAGCTCATAGAGAAAGCATCTGGAAAAGGATAGGTTCAGTGAATGTTACCGTAGAAAAGCATTACATTAATTTCTGGATCTTCTTCTCTGTGGTCACAGTGATGCCTTAGCTGTGTCTGATGTGTGCCCAAGTGCTCTGGACAGAATTGTGCCCCTCTTCTCCCAAATTCATATGTTGAACCCCCCCATGTGACTTTTTTTGGAGATAGGGTCTTTAAGGAGGTGATTAAGGTTACATGAAGTCATAAGAGTATAGCCCTAATCCAATAGGATTGGTGGTGGCCTTTTAAGAAAAGGAAGAGAGCCTGGCCGATGTAGCTTAGCAGTTGAGTGTTAACCGATGAACCTGAGGTCATGGCTTGATTCCCTGTCGGGGCACATGGCCTGGTTGCAGGCTTGATCCCCAGTAGGGGGGTATGTAGGAGGGAGCTGATCAGTGATTCTCATCATTGATGTTTCTATCTCTCTCTCCCTTCCCCTTCCTCTCCCTGAAATCAATAAAAACATACTGTTTTAAAAAAGAAGAGGGAGAGAGAGAGATGGCTGCTATGTGAGGACACAGCAAGATGGTGACCATTTGCAAGTCAGGAAGAGAGCTCTTAACAGAAACTAAACCCTGCTGGAGTCTTGATCTTCTATTTCCAGCCTCCTGAACTGTGAGAAAATACATTTCTATTGTTTAAGTCACTCAGGCGGCCCAAGCAGTCTAAGAATTCAAGTAAGCTATGCCTCACTTTCCAACATCTATTAGTTCCTCTTTGAAATGCCTGTGCTGTTCCTAACCATTTCCCATGCTCCATCTCTCTCCCTGAGAAGTGGTCCTACCCAATCACTGTGCATGAGAGCTCCCCTGCTCCAGTGAAGCTTTACAGACGTAGATTGGCAAGAGGCCCTCTTTGGATGGTGGCATTCCCAAACAAACAATTCCACCCCAGTTAGTCCCCCCAGCCCCCCCTCCAATACATCAATACTTCTGTCCTTGCCCAGCAAGTGGCTACTTGTACATACATTGTGAAAGGTATAATGATGATAATGCCGTTCATCCATTATTTCATTTGATCCTGCCAATAGCTTGGTGATATGAGACACACAGATCAATTATTCCCCTATTGCTGGTGAGGAAACTAAGGCAAAGAGAGGTGAAGTAGCTTACTGTGATTGAGTGCCTAAGAATGCCTGCTGTAAAGTCTTGCCACTATTAATGGTTTGGGCTAGAGAATTACTTATTGTGGGAGACTGTTCTGTGCATTGTAGGGTGTTTAGCAGCATCTACCCACTCACTGAATGCCAGTAGCATCTCCCCAGTCTTGACGGTCAGAAATGTCTCCAGACATTGTCAAATGTCTCCTGAGGGGCAAAGTTCTCCCCGGTTGAGAACCACTACTATTAGAGGATAAGCCTTCAGGTTTGAATAGGCATAGATAGATGTCTTAAGGCTTTTTGTTTTGGGGAGGTTTTTTGTGTGTTTTTTTAACCTATCCTACTGTTATTTATTAAGCACCTTTTATGTGCCAAGTGCTTTACATACCTTCTCTGTTTCAGTCACTAGAGTATCCCTCAGAAGTAGATAGTATTGTTCCTCACTTAGCAGATGAAAACCTGACAGAGAGAAGCTTGCCCTGTCAGTAAGTGGCAGAGCCAGGACTAAAACTTACGTCTTCCATACTCCAAACCCGAGGCCTTTCCACTATATTCACTCTGTAGGTGGTTTGGCGTCGCCTCTGTGGCTTGCCCCGTCTCTTTAACAGAAGCCTAGAGATGTACATTACTTCACTTCCTCTTTCTCCCCATTCTCCTCATGGATATGCTCTGAGCCAGACATTGCTCTCCTCTTCCAGGCTTCCAGGAACTAACAGAAGGCTAGACCCAGCCTGATATGGAGAAACTTGTCCTGAGGTGACTGTGAGAAAGCAGTCTCAAAATGGCTTTAAGTGAGGCTTGTGTTAACTTTTCTCTTGTCGTTTATTGGTATTTTTCTCATTTAATTTAGGTGTGCCTGTGATTTTGTCTATGGCTGAGATTATGAAGACGTGGGAAATTTTTGTGTGCTTGTTTTGGCTCCAGTGATGAAAAGAAGCACTCACTGGCACTTAATCTTTGCTTTGGGGGCAGAAATTGCACAGGCAAATGAAGTGTTTTTTAAAAAAATAACATTTCACCATTTTCAAAGCATTTTCACAAATATCTTATTTTAATCTCTTAACCTCTTGTAAAATAAGTAAAAGTATTTTTAACTCCATTTTACAGATGTGGCTCAGAGATATGACTTGTCCAACATTAGTGTCTAGTAAAGTGGTAGAAGCCAGGACTAGCTCCCACATCTGTTGACTTCAACTTGAATTAGGGGTCTAGAGGTCTTCCCACAATCTGCTGGTAGATTGGTAGCTGGTAGTTTCCACCTCCTCACCCAAAAGATCTTATAACAAGCAGGAGAGCTGACTGATTTTTGCTTCATTTTCCCTGCCCTCCTCTATCTACTGTTGGTTCAGATACTACTGAGCCTGGTGAAAGCCAGAGGCCAGGCTTGAGAAAATAAGTAGGAGGCCATAATTGGACCCTGCAGAATTGAGAAAATATCAAGAAGGGGGATAAATATTTGGTAGGGAGAGCAGAAACAAGTTATTTACTTTGTTTTGGTGGTTGTTACAGTAGGAAGTGAGGTAAATCCTATTACAGTTTGATTTCTCTTTCTACTAATGACTAGAAATGTGAGGAGAGGAGGGCAGGAGGGAGAACTCAGGGATTAGCTTTTTAAAAAGTTTTTATTATGATTTCAGA